CCCCCCCCCCTCACCGCCGACTCGGGCTCCTGTGACAGCTCACAGCTGTCTCCTCCCCGCACCACTCTCCATCCTGATCGGTCAGAGGAGGCTGAAGGGGGCTGTGCGGGAGGAGAGCCCAGCCTCCTGTGACAGAGGGGACACAGAGCAGCGTACAGCGGGGAGGGGAGAAACTAGGCATGCACCGCAATTTCGGCTGAAAGATGGCACTTTCAGCGGCCGAAATTTCAAAGCATCCGTAATATTTACGATCAACCAGTTATGAATGGATCGAAGCTTCTGTATTGAGCCGCTTCTACCCATTCAGAAAGTCATGAATGAACAGGAAGCTATGCAAAGCACTTCCTGTTCACTCATAATGGGGACGCATGGTACTATGTAGGGATGCACCGATACCGGTATTTTGGTACCGATAATTTATTTTCGGTACTCGTCGATACCAATTACCAAGTAACGGAAGTCCCATTCAGGAAGCCAGGTGGCGTGTAATGACTCGCCACCTGGCTTCCTGATTAGCCGGGAAGCGTGTAAAGAGTTGCCACCCGGCTTCCCGATTAACAAGAAAGTCCCCTCTTACCTTTAGTATGTGCAGCCTGTCACCCCTCGGGCCTCTCCAGCGAGAACACGGCCTTCATCCGGTACCCAGCCGGAGCCGTCTGGCCGGCCAATCAGGAAGCCGTGCTCCGTGTAATTACGCGACACCCTGCTTTCTGATTGGCCGGGAGGCCGGCTCCATGCTCTCTTGTCATGAGATGACGAGAGAGCATGAAGCCAGCTTTCCGGCCAATCAGAAAGCAGGGCGTCGCGTCATTAGACGGCGCCCGGCTTCCTGATTGGACGGCTCCCGATTGGCCGGGAAGTCGGCTCCATGCTCTCATCACAAGTGACGAGAGAGCATGGAGCCGCTTCCCGGTCAATCGCGAAACCGGGCAGCGTGTAATGACGAGCTGCCCGGCTTCCTGATACCGGAAGTACTCGTGCTAGGCATCGGAGCATATGGGCGAGTACTTGTACTTGCCCAAATACTCGGAATCGGCACCGACATCGATACTAGTATCCCTAGTACTGTGTGTCCCCAGTTGTTTACAAACAGTGTTGGAGTGATCAGCGATCACTCCAGTGTTTGTGCTGCACAGATATTTACCGATCCTCCGCTCAGCCATCCTGACCCGCTCGTCCACGCACACATCGCAGAGCCGGCGGCCATCCTGATAACAGGTGTGGCTCCTCTCTCCTCCCGCTCAGCCTTTCTGACAAGCTGCTCCCCCGACTCCCCTTCCCCGCCAGCTTCAGCTGTCATTTTCTCCTCGGATCCCTGCTGCCTCAGCCCATACAGGCTGGGGAGAGCATAGGGGAATCCGAGGAGATGTAGATCCCAGCATGGAGCGGCTCTTGGAGGACAGGAGAAGCTGAGAGATGCGGGCGGGTGCGCCCGTTATTTTTGTTAATAGCTGTCTTCTGCACTGATGACGGCTATTATTTTGCAGGGGTACTTCTGATATAAGTTCATGGTTGCTAATGTGACCATGAGCTTATAGCAGAAGGGTGAAAGCCACCGGCGTAAGGCTTACTGATGTGGCCAGCTGCAAGCAGTTGTGTTCCGCTGTAACCCTTACGTTGGTGGCAGCAAAAGAGTTAGAGAGACCTTGTTGTCATATCAAAACTCCAAATAAATGCTGTCCCTCTAAAGAAGAAAGTGAATACTTAAACCCTCCTGTTGCCCGTGCAGCCAAGTGCTGGTCTGTTGATTGGTCCGGTTTAAATGTCTTCCCCACCCCCAGCGCTTAGTGGTTTCTTCTGTTGACTGGACACAGACGGAGCAGCATTCTGGGGGAGGCGGCAGAGCTGAGTATTCACCTTCTTTTTTTATATGCACATGTTTTATTTTGAGTTTTGTGACAGTTGCTTTAAGCTTAGAGAATCAAGCTGGCCATTCACTGGTCAAATTTTGACCAAGTACGGTGGCAGCATGTGGCCCTTTTGGGACAATTACACTACAGCCACTGTTCGTGTATTCTGACAGTGACACACCTGCTGCTGTCAGAATACAATAGACCAGTGGGGTGAATGCCCCCCCCCCCCCCCCCCACCCTCACTAGTAGGAGTGGGC